CCCGAACCACACAATCAAGCAGTGAAGGCTCCCCTGCCATCACACCCACACACGAGCAAGCCCTGCCACCCACTGCTCAGTGTGGCAGTGGCTTCACCTCACCTTCAGGCTGCGGATGTTGGCTGCGTTGGCATCCGATCTCAGCATGACCTGGATGTCTTGGAGAGCTTCCTCCCCTGAAGGACGAGGACGGGTGACCTCATCTGCGACTTCTTTTGCTGCTTCTTCTAACTGGAAAGGGAACAACTCGGCTATTAGGAGTATATTACAGCGTGTTGTCAGGGCTGCTCTCACGATGTGACAATGTCAGCGCATCAGGTCAGCCACCCACTCTGTCCTTACCAGCTGCAGGTGCTCCGCTGGTTGCTTGTACAGATAGTCAGCAAGATCTTCATCAAAGCTGGCCAAGTCTTCCATCTCCACCTCCACCCAGTACTGACTCAGGTTATAGTGCCGTTTAAGCTCATCCCTGGAAGGCAGCAAGCAGTAAAGGTTTGCAAGGCAGAAACCACAGGTCACTCACAGTGACCTCTTGACAAGTAGGGTGTCCTTGGTTTGGAAAGCCGATGGAGCAAATCAGGAGAACGCCAAGAGAAGTGCAGGGGGACCTGGACAGATCTTTCACCCAAAATTGCTTTGAAATGTGACCTAAGGCCAGGGACACCAGCGCTTCCAGTACCAACGTAAAGTATAGCACTAATTGTTTACTAGTTAGGTGACCAGATAGACAATTAGAAAAATTCTATGCAGGATAATACTTATTATACCTAAAATATAGTTTTAAAAAAAAGGAAGTAATAGCATAGCAGCCAATGTTCTCCTTAAAAAAAGCTGGGATGCATTAAATTCAGAGATAAAAGGTGAAAAATTATCCCAGCCCTTGCATGATACATCCCTATGTGCTCTCACAGTTGTCTCTCCAAGTTCCACAGGCGAAGAGATGGCCAAGGGACCTTCACAGCCTCAGAAGGCATGCGTGGACAGTGCTGCACTGATTTTAAAGGATACAGACAATAATCCAGACCAGAAAGCACTAGAACTTGAGGAGACACGCTGAATTTCAGAACTAGGTGCCAGTTTGGCAGCGGGGACCCCTCTGATGCTACCTCTGCTGCTTAAAAATCTGGGAGAACACCAGACCTCGGTTTCCCTCGGATGTTAAATGGGAACAGCAGCATTTGTAGTAGTGACAAAGAGCTCTTCACGGTCTAAGAAAAGCTGAGAGGCGCTATACCTGGGGTGGGCAGAGCAGGCGGGACAGCAAAGAGGAGGGGGTAAGGCCACGGCAGAGGACGTGGTGGGGGGTCGCAGCCTCACCTGTATTTGAAGGTGAAGCCCGTCCGGTCGGTGCCCACCCGGTACTGCCGCAGGAACTCCTTGAACCGCTTCTGCAGCTGGGACTTCCGAACCTGCCCCTCGTCTGCCGCCGCATCGCCCCCGAAGCTGTCGCTGTAGTAGATGCCGGGGTCGTCGAAGCCGGACATGGCGACCACGGCTCCTCTGCGGGGGGTGACAGCCCACGGTCAGCAACCACCTCCTCCTCCCACGCACCCCCCCACCCGCGCCAAATACCCCACGAGATGCCAGCCCCCTTCCCACCGCACCATGCCCCGGCCGCGTCCCCTCACCCCCGCTGCTCCACGGGACCCCTCACTCCAAAT